GAAGAGGAGATAGAGAAGGGTTCCATGATCGTGGTGAAGAGGGTACATTTTAGTTCAAGTTCAAATATCTACATGTCTACATCGACTCGTCCCGAACTAACCCAACCCATCATACAGCATTCCTATCTCTCTCTTTCTAACCCAGAATGAAACTCGTAATTACCATTAAAAGGCCCCTCAGCAGGGGCATGCAGGTCATAATCGTAAAGTCCCTCCTTTTCTGCAAGTGGCAGAACCCTCCAGGAACAACTGATCATGACGCTCATCGAAGGCGTGTAGGTATCATCATCTAAAGCGCGCAGAAAAATCGAAAACAGAGATCCAGCCGTGATATCATCGTCCGAATAGGAAACAGAAAACAGAAACAGAAACAGAGATAAACAGGTGTCCTCCAGGTATACACGCGCAGGTGTCGCAAATAGACCGAGGTCCAGTTCAGCACGGTATGCTCATCCGTCATGCAGTGCAATGTGGTACTCAAACCATAGCAACGGAATAGTGAGCGATCAAGGAAAATTCGTGATAAGCGCTTAGAAGTACGTGTCGACAACATCGCGTCCACCGCGAATGGCCCATTCGACAATTTCCATGCCGCTGGAGTCCACTAGCGTAGTACGTCTTCTTCTGGCCTTGCAGCTTATTCAGCTTAGCATACGCGCCGTTGGAAAGCGCGTCACCTTCAAAATGCGGAAGTAATCCCACTTCTTGAAGGCCTTGACGTCGTCGTCACAGAAGGGCTGCGATGGCTCCGTGGGCATTGCGTGGGTCCTTGTTGATTTTGGACAAGCTGTCGATCAGGAGGTTCTCGGCTGCGGCTTCAGTCTGGAAGGTCGTAGGGGCCCCAGGACCAGGCTACGGAGACGTTGGATTCTTTGCTTAAGTGCAGGACGGCTACGGGCTCGCCGTCGTTGGGTGGCGGGACTGTCTCGTCGGAGCTGTTGGCGATGTAGGAGACGCCGAAGGGTAGTTCGAGCTCTACGGCGGAAGAGTAGTATTGGTGCGTGTGATGTTGTTGAAGGTGTCGTGCTCCTGCTCTGTCATGGTCTACACCAACGCGCTCGAGGTTCTCGATGCTTGGCGGGAATGCAAAAATGACTGAAGAGCATTCTTGCTTCTCCCAGGAGACGTAGCTGCCATTCTTCATGGGTGTAGTGTAAGTCACGACAGGGTGGTCGCCGGACCGGTCGACGCAACGCACTTCGGAAGAAGTGTGTATGGGAGTCTTGCACAACTGGTTCTTGGCGTACTCGACGAACATCTTGTGGAAGTCCATGTAGTACACGCTATGTAAGCCGATAAAGGCCGTGAGGATATCCGGGGTGAAGTACTGCAGAATGTACAGCTAATCACACGTTAGCGGCCTGCATGCGCGATCCCTGCAAATTTTTCTGGGGAGTGATGACGTACCGCTGGGACAATGTTGATATCGCCATAACCGTAGAGCGCGACAGGATTCACGAGAAGGATGGGCAGCGCAGTGAAGTTGTTCTGGCGGAACCATTCTGCGCCCGATACGGTAAATTCGTCTGGTACACCATTCTGTTCCTGCATTAGCCTACCCGGTTTGTGCAACGGCGTACCACAACGGGTGTCGTACCTTGTAGTTCACGACACTAATCGGTCGGAAGCGCTGCGTCCACAGCTGAATGTACCTCGGAATTTCTGCAGATACCTGCGCGGTGAATTGCGGGGTCAGGGCGGGGTTGACCATGATGTCGCCGTCGGTGTAATTATAGCGGTACATTTCGCGCGCACCGGCAAGCGCAAAGGGTTCGATCGAGACATTGGTCTGGTTGAGGATGTCGATAGTGTTCGTGTACGTCGCATTGGAGAAAAAGGCGGCGCCGAGTGGGTGGAAGATGCCTCTGAAAGGGTGGTCAGCCGCGCCTAATGCGCTTGGAGGCGGACGCTGTGTAACACTTACTGGTCATCATACCAAGCCTGGCATTTACCACCAACTTCCTCTTGACGGTCGAACATGACTGCTTTGATGCCCTTCTCTTCTAACCGACCGGCAGCAGCTAGGCCGGCAGGGCCTGCGCCAATGATGCATACCGGGTGTTGCTCGCAATTGCATCGACGACCTTGAGGGAGGGCTGAGACTGTGAGCGAGGAAAGCGCAAGCAGCGGTAGCACTAGCGACGACCACATGTTGGTGCAGGTGAATGGGAATTGTGGTAGAGAGAACAATGGGGACAGCGAATGTTTGGGGGAAAGGATGAGGTACCTAATGCTTATAATAGCAAGAGCGACGCGTTTGCAGGTCCCTGCGTGCCTTTGGGCACTTTCCACTTCGTTTGTAAAGGTGAAGGAAGGCATAGCTGGGGCAGGCGCTGCACGGTGCGTTGGCATTAAACGGGAAGGGGCCAGGCTAGCATGCTTTCTCGAAGCCAGATGGGCGATTTGCAAGCCTCATCAGGCCTAAAGGAGCATCAATGAGGTAAGTTTGAACGGCAACGGTCGTGCGGCGGAGCACTGAGCGCCGCTGTGACGTTTGAGACGAGGGTCTGCTACCGGAGCGTTGATTTTTATTAATCTTTACCCCTGGCATAGCTGTAGTCCAGGTAACCGCAACCGCCAGCGTAGAAAGCGCAGCTGCTATTCACAGCTTCAATTGCCGCTGAGTTGTGCCTCCTTGATGCGTCGGATGTTCGCAATTGCTAAATCCACACTGCAGGCGCTAGAAGCGGTGAACAGCTGTCTGCAGACATCATGCTGCAGCTGTATGCAGCCTGTCGTTGGTGCCAGTGGATTGGTGCCGAGGTTTGGCCTTCAGCCCTGCCACTAGCCTCCAAGCCACCGTTTGAGGCCCAGCCGCCCATATTCTCGGGAGTGGTTCCTGACTCTTGAAAAAGCTCCTATGCCCGACAATATCGCAAATGCGCTCGCTGTATGAGACACCATTTCCGGCATTGCGACATTGCGACAAGGCCATGATTCGGTATCTGACGTCCGTTGCGCCGTATGCCCGTATACACTGCGGCGTGGACGTCATCCCGGAGCGGGATCTCGCTGCGTTGGCCTTTCCGCGAGCCTGACAACTCACCGTCCAGCTCTGGGCGAAAACATGTTTAAGCCTCCACTGGATGGAAATTGCAGCTGCGATGGAAGGTTGCGTAGAACAGAGACAAGTTGGCAGAATGACGACATGCTCGCTGCACTGACCGACCGCCAGCCCAATTCGCGAGGCTGAAGCGACAAACTCAGGGTCCAGCTGGGATAGAAGAAAAGCAAAGTTCTGCCGTCGCACCATGCTCCAACTCTTCCACACCACTAACCTGTCTGTTCATTTCGACGATGTTCAATGCGCGCCGCATGACGAACCAGCCCCCGGTTTAATGATCTCACCGCATGATGACCGCTTCGGCAGTATCTTTCCGTGAAATCTCAATTGCCCGAAATAAAGCAGTAGACGACCTCTGAATAGTTTGCTTCCTTTCGGTACGAAGGAGGCAAAGCAATGCGGCAATGAGCACACCTTCAGTTTCAACTGGTGGCGCAGTCTTCGCGAGACGAAAAAGGAAGTTGCGGCATGGTTGTTGCGCGTCGCGAGAACACGTCGACACCGAACGAATCAGAGGCCAAACATAAAAGAAGCGACAGCCAAGAGAGTGTAGTGATCGTATGATTCGCTATCGTGCTCGACGCCTTTTAGGCGACGAGAAGAAGAAGCTGCTGCTGCTAAGAGCTTGAACTCGCTAAATTTGAGGAATCCGCCCAGCTGTCGTATCCGACGGGTATTGACAAGAGAAAACAGAAAGGAAAGAGATATAGTGAGGTAGTTGAAGAGAAGAGGCCCTTTGTGAGTCTGCTGCCTACAGAAAGCTGAAACATCGCTCGCTGAACGGATGCGCATATTAAACTAAATAATGTGAAAAGTACTGCGCCTCGCGATCAGTACATGAAGCTTTTTTGCTGCTCTATATCGATATCGAACCGGCTCTTATCGGTATCGTCGGTATCGCCACTCATCGGCCGTTCCGAGTGCGCACGGAAGTGGACCGGGGTGATGGCGGTGCCGGGCCGCGTCTCATCGTTGTCCGTGAGCTTGCGCGTGTCCATCTCGACTTGGTCAAGGACAGGCGTGATCTTCTCCTTCCTTCTGCTGTTTTGCGAGTTGTTGCCATACTTGGACCCTTGCTGTCTTGCCCGGTGCGGGAAGAGTAGAGGCTTGAGCGCTGGGATGCACCCGCAGATGACACCGACGTTTGTTTCAATGGCAGTCCAGACCCAGATCTGATACCCTTCCCACGTGGCATCGTATGTCTCGAAGAGTGTGTAGTGGACCCAGTAGGCGCGGAAGCTGCTTGCAACAACGATGACACCGCCGACCGAAAAGAGAATGACGAGCCCGATACGTTGGGTGGTCGGTAACGAGAGGCCGAAGAGCGTGGGAATAGGTAGCGCGTAGATCATGAAGTCGGTCACGACGTTGAGAACACTTTGCACAACCAATGGCGGTCCTTCTGGGATGCAGTCGCGGTGGTCGGCTTGGAGTGTCCAGTAGCTTGAGATTGGGCTATAGTCGTCAGTACTAGAATAACTTGATCACGTGGATATGCTTACATGCATTGTACCCAAAGTGCGACCAGGAACACGACGAAGGCGGCGAACACGAGGGCGAAGGTTGCCCAGACGAGCTTGCGGAAGAGCGACTTCTCTGGCGCGATGCGGAAATACGAAATGAGGATGGACATCTTGACGGTGGAAGAGGCCAAGACGAATAGTGTTTGGCCTGCCATAGAAGCCTAAAGCCGTCAATATCGGCGTGTGGTGACACGGGTTGCACACTGTCGTACCTGTCTACCGACCATCAGCTCGTGCGGCTTGAGGTCCCAAACGTGGCGATCCCAACCATACAGTTGGGACGCCATGATGACGATGACTGTTGTGCCTGTGGAAGGAGTTAGATGATAGAAGTCATGACAAGTTCGGGTTCCGTACCAATACTGAAGATCATTGCCACGATCATGAGGTAGTCGTCATACCAGCTCTTCTTGAGCCATGCTATCCGTACCCATAGTCGGAGGAAGACCACAATCATAGCAATGGGTAGTAATGTCAACTCGACAATCATGAGGCCGGAGCCCCGCGTGACGGGGTCGACGTAGTTCGGCTTGGGCCATGTCGCAAGGACCTCGGGTGGGGGAGACCTCATGGTGCTGGCGTATGTGTTTCGAAAGCCGTGAACGTTTGTTAATCAATGGTAGGATGAGACTGAGGAACGAGCGTCACCAGCGTTCAAAGAGCACGGGACTGGGAATGGACACGAATATAACCTTCACTCAGGGCGAGCCAGATCTCCACCCGTATGCTCCTGCTGCGCCGTGCACAAAGGCTCGAATTCCAGTGGGGCTTGGCCATCGTTGGGAAGCATGGTATGCTGGAGTAAAGAATGCTCATCTGCGCAGCACCATTGGCAGTGCACCACGGGAGCTCCGTTGCGGGTACGGAATGGTGTCGGTTTCGCCCGCAGGGGTCCAGGTACCAGCGACGTCCGTAGTCCCTTCAGCTCGCGCTGTGACTTGCTGGTACAAATGACCAGTGTGGATAGGTGACCAGTAGCCGGGAGCTGACTGTGGAGCGTTAATGTGACCGGGTTCAGGCAGGTTGTTGCTGCGGCTCATCAGTGGATAGAGACGCATTCCACGCATGGCCAATCGCTGTCCCGAAGCCGGGGTAGCTGAGCAGTAGTACCGAATCCGGCGTCTGGACGTTTTGCCGCAGGACAACCTGATTTGGAGGCCCGTATATGAGCCGATACTTTGGGTGACCAGCGGCGTCATCTAGAATACCGCATTGTGTCAAGCCGCAATGCTGCTTTTCCCACCATCGCGCGATTGTCGCGTGTCGTGAGCAGAGATCGAAGGGTCCAGCGTTGAGATTTTGCCTGTCGTGGCGAAGCGCTTTCGGATCGCCCGCCTAGCAGCAGGGGCCACCCCCGGCCTCGTTTATCTCAACGACGAATAACCTCACCGCATCACTCCAAGGTGTGATCCGCCTTCGCTCTGCGCGATGCCCTGCGGATGCGGGTTATGGACGGCGCCTGTTGCTGTCTCCGCTCTCTCGTGGCTTGCAATACTCCGCCCGCCGTCTTTTTCCAACTAACCTACTCGCCGACGTCTTCTCGCTGTCTAGTTGTCTTGGTGACGTCGCGTCTACGGTACCACCTACCCACTGTTTGTCGTCAGCACGTTGTGTCTTTGACCCAAGGAGCCACAGTAAGCGGTATCCCCGATCCAGCCTACCCTCAGGTACACATGGCTGTTGTTTCGAGACTCACGCGATCCACATTACGAGTCCCGTTAAGACCAGGGACGCCTGTGCGGGCGCCTCGGACGGCATCTATTGCGCCACGCAGAAACTTCGAGTTGGACGTACAAGGCCTCGATTGACTTCCACGCTCAAGAAACCTGATCCCGGTCGTGTGAAGACTTCATCCCTCTTCCTTGTAAAGATCACTCTATCCCAGCCGCTTCCCCGCCAGAGATTCCTGGCCTTTGGGAATACTCAGCCGTTACGTACTTCCACCGTCAAAACACTAATGATCCTTCCGCGGCTGTGCTCCACTCCCTGGAGGCATGCAGCTCATCTACCGACATGCACACGACGTCGTGTATACAGAGGCCACCGTGCTCGCTCGTTGGCAACGGTTTTACTTTTCAGCTCCCCAAGTATTGGCTACCAAAAAACCACTCCCACAACACGGGCTCAGCTCCTGTCCCTATCTCGGCACTCGCGTGGGTCCAGTGCTGTGGGGTACGGCCTGGAATTAGAGACCCGCTAACCTCAGCGGCTAAGTGACAAAGCTTCCCTTTCCCGTCTGGTGTCGGCTACAGCATACGATTGGACGTCCATTACATGCCCAAGCTGATCGATATCCCCTTTCGTCGCTCAACATGTTGTTGACTCCTCGGAAGTGTGTTTTGGTTGCACCATATTAGGACTAATTCAAAGCATCACAAAACCAGTCCCGTCCTAACGGCTAGATATGCGACTGCGGGACGGTTTCCAATTGACCAGCTATTGGCCCTATCATCACACCGTTGAAGACTAGAAACGTCCTCAGCAAGGGACATTGCTCTCAACAAGGATATTACGAGTCCACAGGAATGCATCACGGCCAGAGACGTGGTCATGATATCCACGGTGATCGATAATTGTCACGATCATCGCATCCGATCCACACTGCAATCTTGGTAGTAAGGTAGTTACAACTTAATACAGCATCTAGGAAATTCCCCGAAGACGGCGGCAACTATATCGGCTCGACATGCTCTGGCCCTTCCTTGCAAGTGCCACGCGGAAGGGTATGCGCGTCTGCACGTCCTTCAGTGTGCTGACTCTTGCCAGCCTCCAAGGATATCAGCGAATGACTACACGATACAACGTGATGAACGCCCCGTAAGGCCATCTCGCCTCCCCTGGTCAACCCATGTCGCCGACGATCATGAAGCCACACTCATCAGCAATGTCCCATGGCAAATACATCGGTAGTCGAGCACTGATATCGCGTTCGTCATGCATTGCACAGGTACCCGCGATCACGTACGGTTCATCACGTCGTCACCCATCGGTAGTTCTTCCGGGTTGGAAGCACGGTGGTATTTGCCTGGAAGCTGTCTTAGAGTTCTCTCTAGCATCTGGATATACTAGACGGGCGGTTATTTCGATCTGCCGACATATTAGTCGCGATAGTACACTTGGGCAAGGGGCAAGAGGCAAGACGGCAACTTCCAGCGAGTATCTCCTGAGTGTTCTATTTGGAAAATACCCACATCGCCCTCATGTGTCCGATTACTCCTTTCGAAAGTGCGGGTACTTACTCCGGCGGCCTCATCACCAACCCTTTCCACTCTGTGGGGTCCGTGCGAAGGCGATGCTAGAGTTCCATCTACCATCCCCTTCCCGATCCAGCACCCTATAACAGATCAGTAAGGCAATCTGAGCCCCCGTCCTAATCTCGTCTTGCGCGCATAGTGACGTGCCGACATCGTGGGGGGACTCCGGGTTCTCTCCTTTGTTTTCCTTCCCCAAGAGTTCGGATGCGCGGACGCCGAACGGAAAAGGAAAACAAGACACGTAGGCTGAGATTGCCACGAGGGAAACATAAAATGCATAGTCAGGTGGGTGTACGACTAAGCAGGACTAATGCAAGGTGTGGCTAATCTTGTCACTAAAAGGAAGTGAGCGTGGGAGTGATACTTGGGGTTGTTTTTCTGGGGCTATGGAGAGGTGTGCGACTATTACTATGAGATCGTGTAAATCGACCTCGCCGCGTCATACTCGTCGTTTTGTCCATCGAATCCGGCATCTTCTCGGTGCCAATCTAGGTGAGTAATAACACGACCGACTCGTGCAACTTAGATCTACCCTCTCTTTTCTGGTCCGATACTGTCTTCCGCAAATTGGTGATTGACGAACATCCTTGCTATCTAGCATAGCGATTCGCGAGCGTCTAGCGAGAATATTTCAGTAGGCCTCCAGACAGGCTCGTTCCACTCCTGCGGAAATAAGGTCCAGTCCCTCTGGTACCCCAAGTAAATACATTGCGTAGATGTTGCACGAAAGTCTTCCGCGAACTCGAGGAAACCGAAGAGTTTTGGAAAGCCAGGTCCGCCCAATGCTCGGCACTTGCAGCTATGAGACGACATTCTTGTCCAATCTTCCCTTTCGATATGCTGGCATATAGTTTGAGAGTTATCGCGCCAGCACCTAATCGCCATGGGCATAAGCTGCCGGATCTGCCGCAAAAGATCTCCAACGCGGATACCGTTCGCACGAAGAAGCCTTTTGACTGACTGTAATCCTTCAGGACTAGGACGCGCAGACTCCGGGCTTAGAGCATATATACCTAGAACCTTACACGGAGGACTTGTAAGAAACATGGTGTCAACGAGCTGCTCAAGCCTCGTAGGTAATGCATGATCTCTCAAATCATGCTGTAGGCGCAGCTCTATAGTGACGACGAAACTACCGTGGGTCAGCTGCAGACAATACTCAAACTAGTCGAGAAAATATGGGTTGATTTGAAATTAACTTAGATTCGTCCAACGGGGTCCACCTAACCGAGAGAGAAGCACCTCCACAAGGAAACGTCCACTCGTGTAGAAGACTGCGAATTGAGCTTCATAGAGTACGCGGAAAGCATTAGATGTTGATTGCGGAACCTTCTCTGCCTGCGGCAACCGGGCAGCGAGGAGGAAGGCATCGCCAAAAACTTCGGGCTGGGACGCCTGCGACAATCTGTCCACCGCTTACTGGAAATGTACGATCTCATCGTCGGATGGCTGCATCCAGCCTAATTTTTGGCGAAATAGCTCTACCACGATCGACAGGGTCGCAGGGATATGGACTGTGAAACCGAGTTTGCAAGATATAGCTCACCATGTCCCTCCAGCCTTTTGATACGTTCCATGCAGCGTACAGTGTGCATAGCGCTGCTTCACGGAGCATGTGTTCAAGCAGCTCTTTCACACCTAGGGCGCGATGAGGGAATCCATGTCCAGAGTCCGATACGGCCGAGCAAGTTGCAGGTCGAGAAGTCTTTTCGGAAGAGTCGAAGAGTGCCATGCGCTCGTCCATAATGCGTAGAGTTGACACTCGCCATTCTTCGACACCAAGCTCTATTTCTTCGCGCAGACTGGATGCTAGAAGAGGCCATGGTACCCGTGGCGGTGGTATCTTTAGTTCCTCTTGGATACATGCCACCTCGTAAAGTGCTTCAGGGTATGGGTTGTCTGCTACCTCCTTGGCGGTATAGCACTTGTAAATCAGAACGACGTGTGGATGGTATTTCTTTGGGTCAGCATACACGATATCGTCGATGAGGAGGTGACTTTCACCGTCGGCCATTATTTCGTCGGCCATGGCTTGGTTGTCAGAAGAACAGATGTAGTAATGGAGTTGGGGGAGAAGTAAGACTGCGGTGGTCGCGATAAACCGAGAGCATGTATGACTGCGTGCTACTGCTACCTTGCATACGTTGAGAAAATATTCGGGGTTTTGCTGCAAACCAAAAGTTGAGACCCCTCGAAGCCAAGGTTCCCGTGCGCACGTGCTGCTGCCTAATTGGGGTTTCATGGCTTGCCCGCAAGCACAGACCTAACACGTCGTCGCACCCATCACGACACCAGAAAACGGTACTGTGCCTCATCATCTACGAATCTCGTCTCTCCATCTTCCCGCTGGTGTCGTGAAGCCCGGCTAGAGCACTAGCAGTCATATCTCGACACAATGTTTGCAGTTCCTCCTGTATACATGCGGAGTCATGACGAAAGTCACCCACCCACCAAGGAAGGTCCTTTACACAGGCAAACGGCGTGACTACTGGAAAGGTAGGGATAGTCGCTGGGCACGTCACGCCTAAACACACTCACCACCAAGACGCGATCAGACATAGCCTGAGATGCCTCCAGCTAGCTTGGCTGACGAACCCGGCTAGCCTTGGTCCTGCACGTGCGCTGGCGTCTCCTCCGCGATTAGGCACCGACGCGCCTTCCCATCCTCTGGGCGGGCCAGTCTCCTCAGCCAGCAACAACTCGCTTGCATCCTAAAAAGAGACGACAGTTGCGCAACGATGAGCGGAGGGCTGGGGAAAATGGGTCGCATATATCGCGCCAAAATACACGTTCTTCCATTCACCGACCATGCTGGCAAAGAGGCGCTCATGGTGTTCAGAGGCAGAGAAACTTGTCCACTTCCTCCGCTCTACAGTTTCCACGTCTATTTCACCCATCAAGACGTCAACCCTGGGAATGTCCAGCCGGTCGAACTCCTCGAGGCTCTCGTCCGAGACACGCCGTACTTTGCCTATGGATGTCCCTATCGTCTGGAGTTACATTTCCTGCCTATGCCCGGTGCAACGGTCGAAGAATGCGACAAAGCCTGCATCGCCCACTATATCGAAGAGAAACGCCACCGAGGCGACTATGCGAGTCAAATCATACACCTTGAGACGTCCCTCATCCCCAGTGGTAGTCTACCTGGCTTCGTACCGAGTTACATACAATATGAAGATTGCGATTGGCTACGAGGGCGTCTCTACAGCTACCAAGGAGCCAGCTGGCCTATGGAGAAGCAGCCTGCACGCAGTATAAGCTTCGATCCTCTCCCGCAAGATCAGCTTCGTGTATTGGCCGAGGAAGTGATGGAAGAATGTGCGGTTGATGGTGTACTTCCGCCAAATCGAGTCACTCCACGAGCATTTCAAAAGGGTGAAGAATATGGTGTTGGCCCACAGCATGCGGGCGAGGATATGTATTACCTTTCCAACGGCGACACGCAAAACATCACGCTCGAGCCGTATCAGGAAGCGGTTGAGCGTGGTTGGTCAACGTGGTAGGACCAATGTGAGGAATCGGGTCGGTAGACGCCAAGAGAGATAGGACGTCAGGTTACCAATCGAAACCGAGCCTTAATTCGATACACTATTCGCGGTCGATACATCCCTCCCACTCTTTTCACTATCAGCGTCACATTTTCCACCTAGCGAGCCCCCGCGGTTCCCAGACATAATCACTGTATTCGTCACACCGTCTTCCACCCGAGTCAGCGGGTACTCATCATGCTCAATCCCAATCTTATTCCTCAACTTATTCCCTGAACCAATGCCTCCCGAGTAGCCCATATGGTCCGAGGTGCTGGCTTTGTTCGAAGCCCATAGCCGGGCAGGGGATATGAGTTTGAGCAACGGCCGGAGCGTCGCGATACAGCAATTTATGATGGCGATAGCGGGCTCGGCAACTGACCAGAAAGCCGCATCGTGCATGGAGTAGGAGAGGTCGGTAAAGTCGACGTGGAGCAGGACGTTGATGCGAATTATGGTTATGGCGGTGACACTACAAGATGGATCAGCTGACATCAATAATGATAGCGCGATGCTGGGAGTTACGCACAAGAGACCTATCCCAAAGATTGCCACCAATCCAAGCTTCGTACCAATAGCCATCTGCAGTTGCCTGATGAACGGTATAGGCAGAAACATGATGATCAAATCCGTAAGCATGTTAAAGATACCAATCGTAACGAACGCGACGTTGTAACTCGCGCAGTGTCCACCAGGGATCGTAGGGTTCCAGTTCATCTCGAAAGGCGTGCAGATGAGGAAGATCTGGAGCATGCTACCGAGCCAGTAGCCACCAACGAGGCCCATGCATATCCAGACCCATTTGCGAAAGGCCTCCTGGGGGAAGATGCGCAGGTAGAACCAGAGGTACGATAGCTTGACGCTGGACATGGCGGCGTAGTATACAGCTTGGTAGGCGACGAGTTGCTTGGCTATGAAGGTTACGTTGGCAAGGGGTAGTTCGGCGACGTGGTACCGCATTCCGTGGTTCGCGTAGGTGATGTGCATCGCGAGCATACCTGCGTTAGCGGTTAGTGTTGCGGTCTAATATCGTGGTATCGCATCGTGTAGGCGCGATGACCTGGCTCGTACATACCGACAGTGAAGACCAGCGAAGCCACTGCTGCAACATCATCCCACCTATGGTCTTGTCAGATTACATGTTCTTTGGGAAGGTAAACAACTTGTCAGTCTTCACATACCATACTTTGGTTTCGCGAAGTCGTCTTGCGACGAACCGCAACGCAACAAGTGTAGCAGCAAAAGCGACGAGAAAGAAGTTAGCAGCCAGCTGTTCAGTAACAATATCGAACTGAAAGATATCCGTCTTCGTCAACGGATCTGTGGGCAACATGCTGCGATGTCTCCCCGACGCGCAGGTGAAAGTATGAGAAGCGAACCACTTGCATTGGGCCTACTTGTTATTTGACAAAACTGACCCCATTCCTTGTTTGCATTGACACCACACAGACGGTACACCCGGTGGTCCAAAAACCCCAGCAAGTTGGTTCCTGCTTAAATCCTTCACGATGCGACGAGATCATTCGAGTGGAGCCATAACGGAAAGGGATATCGTCGAGCACAGTCCCGAAACGGAAACGTACCCCCACAGCACAAGCGCTGTAACGTCGCTTGGGCAGCACGGGTGTACGGCAACTTCCTGGTGGCTGGTAGACTTCAGGATGGAGGTATAAGTGTGCCGCTTGCTATCGTGTTGACCAACCACGACCATACGGGGACCAGATCATCCCCTCTTCCAGCGGCGTGTCGAGGTGGTTTTTGAGGCTGTAGTGGGTCGGGTGCGGGCCCGCGTGTTGGACCTGCATAACGCTTCGATATGAGAGCTGTTGGTTGAGCAGAGCTTTCCCGGAATCCGCGCCCGCCGCTCGGAGCGCGGGATGTCAGCCGCAACTTATCAAGGGTAAATCTCAACGTGTATCCAAGTGCAATTATGGAAAGTAGATAAACGTATATCTACCTTACTCGTAAGTATCCTGGGGGTTAGAATTTGCACTACTGTCGCAAGCCACAGGGTGTAATTGCATCTGTTCACCCTCATCTGTACACACGGTTGCCGTAGGTGTTGGGCGCTGTCTTGGAGTGTGTTGACGGAGACGCGGTGGATATCGTCCAGGAACATGACACGACAACGGGATTTTGAACGTGCCGTTGTGGAACCGCTTTCCCCGGTCCGTAGCTTTAGTGCGTTTTAGTCGTCGCTTGCCGTCTCCCGAAGTAGCAACCGCCCGTTGCGGCACAGTCGTGAATTGAGGCTACAACGGGTCCAGATCAAGAGCTCCTGTTCGTGCATGGGCTTGTCGGGCCTATGGTGGAATGGTCGCTTGGGCTTTTGCTATATACCGCGATGGTCGCGGTGCGTTCCTTGAGCCCACACTCGTAGGTACACTGTTTCACAACAAACACCATGGTCCAACACACCGGTTGCGTAACATCTATCGATGCACTTTCTACAGTAGAGCCTGACTTCATCGTCATTGGAGGCGGTATTGGTGGGCTGGTGGTCGCAAACCGCCTGACCGAGGATGCGGACAAGAAGGTGCTGTTGATCGAGGCTGGGGCCAATCGTCAAGGAGACCCCAAGATCGACACGGTCGGTATGCTGTCAACACTCTATGGAGACCCCAATTATGACTGGGACTTTATGTCTGAGCCTCAGGTGAGTCCAGCGGCACGAGCTGATCTTGTTGCGATAGGAAGCATCAGGCACAACTGACAATCGCATTTCAAAGACGCATGTCAACGGTCGGCAGATCCCGCATCCACGAGGAAAGGTTCTCGGTGGGTCTTCAGCAATCAACTTTGGCGCAACTGTGTATCCGTCAAAAGCCAACTTTGAAGCCTGGAAAGCATTAGGCAATGAGGGTTGGGATGCTGCCGGCATCGCGCCATACCTTCGCAAGTTCAGTCGCTTCACACCACCGAGTGCGGAAACGAAAGAACTCCTCAACATAGACTACATCAATGAGGAGCTGCATGGCAAGGATGGTCCTGTTCCGGTCACGATTCCGGATGTGTATGGACCGTTTCAGGCGTCGTGGGCCAAGACTCTGGACAAGATGGGCTGGTGCAATACGGATGATCCTATCGAAGGCGAGAAGCTCGGTACATTTGCGTGCGGACTGTCCCTCGATGCGGAGACGAAAACTCGCGGTTATGCTGCGTCGGCATACTACACCCCGGACGTTGCGAAGAGATCGAATCTCGAAGTCTTGACAGAAGCATTCGTCGAAAAGATATTGACGAAGGGCTCCGACAGCTCTGTAGAGGCGATCGGTGTAAAGATCCGGACAAAGGATGGGTCGACCCACGACGTCAGGGCGAAGAGAGAAGTTATCCTTTCTGCAGGTGCTATCCAGTCACCGCAAATCCTTGAGCTTTCCGGAATCGGCCAAAAAGAACTTCTTGAGAAGCATGGCATACCGGTAGTTCTCGAGAGCCCTGGTGTGGGCGAGAACCTCCAGGACCATGCCATTTCCGCCCCGTCCTTCGAGGTTGCCGACGATCAACTCTCTGGAGACATCATGCGCGATCCGAATATCGTGCAAGCCGTGTTGCAACAATACATGACTACCAAGACCGGCCCGCTCGTCGGTATCCCAATCAGCTTGACCATGCTTCCACTCGTCGACTCCAATGGTCGCATCAGCCACGAAGAAATTGCGAAATTGACAAAGGAATATATCAACGACAAGGAACTGCCCCTCTGGCAGAAGAAGCAGTACGAGCAGCTTGAGAAGCAGATCCTAGGCCCCAAGGAAGCAGCTGGATACGCGATGATGCTGCCACTGCAGCTGAACATCTCCTCCGGCGCCACACAGATGAACGCACTGCTTGCACCTACCCACCCCAACAATTTCATCACCATCATGGCAGTCAACAATCATCCCTTCTCACGTGGCTTCTGCCACATCAGATCCGCGGATCCAAAGGAGAAGCCCATCCTGGACCCCCGATACCTTTCTCATCCATTGGACCTGGAGATCCTCGCCCGGTACACGCAATACATCGAGACCATTGTCAAGACCGAGCCGTTCGCTTCTCTACTCAAGCCGAGCGGGCGCTTACCCGAGGGCAAGGAAGCCAAGGATTTGGATACCGCTAAGGAAATCGTCAAGGAGCGACTATTGAGCACCTTCCATCCTACGGGCACGTGTGCAATGATGCCGCGGGAACTGAATGGCGTTGTCGATAGCAGGTTAAAGGTGTATGGAACGAAGAATCTGAGGGTCGTGGACGCGTCGATCTTTCCAATGGAGACGCTGGGGAATATTCAGGCAACGGTGTATGCGGTGGCGGAGAAGGCGGCGGACCTTATCAAGGAGGATTGGAGGAAGTGATGGTGGTCTGTGAATGCATCTTGGCTCTAAGTATCGATCTCAATCTGTATCAGAACTGTCGTGCCAAAACTTCGTAGCTCTGAGGTGACGTCAATGTCTCGATGTCGTCCAAACAGACCACGCACCCGACTAGGCTTCACTGAACCATGTTCAGCTGTCAGACTCGAGTGGTGGAGCCCTGGGGATGTGTAGGCAACAGCGCAACACGTGCGGCAGTGCAACCCCTTAGCGGCCAGGCAGCAGTCACACGTGCGCCCGCCTAACGCAGCACGGCCCACCCTCATCGTCTACATAAACCCGCCCTTCCCCCGTCCCTCAGATGCCCGGTAGCTCTCTTTGCCAATCTGGCTTAGATCAAGTGTAGTATCTGTTCTTTATAGTTTAATCGCTATAATGCCACTACGGTGGCCTTTCCCGATAACAATTTTTGCAACCCGACCTCAGGTCCCTGAGCTCGCTCATACCTTGAGGCCACGGTGCCGCCAGTATCTCGCACTACCTCTGGCAGGCGCGACTTGTTTTTCATTGGGTGTTCTTGCTTGCGAGAACCTTGAGGAAGAAATATGTGTCTGCTTTGCTTATGTGCCATTTTCATGCCATTAGGCTGGTTCAGGAGAACTATACAGGCACGAGCTACTGTGAAGATAAGTACTCTGCGTAGTACTAGGCCAACAT